TGCAATGGACAGGGAAGCCCATACTTTATATATACTGTTGAGCGGAGTCCGAGGGAGGGAGGGAGGAAGCACGCAAAGAGGGGAGAAAAGAGAATTGTGGGTGGAGACAAGGATCGTCATAAGAGCAGGGGTGGGGTGGGCAGTGTTGGAAAATGCAAGCGTCCATCAAGAGACCATTGTGACCAGAGCCAGGGAGTGAGAGTTGTAGGAGGCAGGAGCTAATGAAGGGATGGACTGGGGGGTCGGAGGGAGGGGAGACCGGGCAGGCCATTGCAAGTCCTTTGGCTTCTGTTGAGTGAGCTGGGAGGTCACTAGAGGGGTTGAGAATCAGAAAGGATTTACTTTGATTTTTCCTGGAGAGAATCACAGTTTCAGACTGTTCCAGAAGGACCAGTCCGCAGGACAGACAGACGGGGAGGTGGTGACTCAGAGGCCTTTCAGCCAAGGTATCAGCATGGCCCAGCCCAGGAGGGCAGTCAACAATATGGAAGGAAGTGAGGGACCTGACATATTTTACAGAATTGATGGCAGATTTCAGACGGGTTGGTGCAGGGCATGAAGACACAAGTTGAGAGGAACTGATGTTTGCAAGAGTGTTAAAATTATGTGAGAGGACGGACGGATGACTTTACCTTCTGCAAAGGTATTGTGAACTGGAGATAAGGTGGATAGAACAAATGAGTCCACAGCAGAGAAATGACAGAGGGACACTTTCCCCACTCCTGAAAAACCGAGATTATTGAGAAAACGACAGAAGTAAAGCAGAAAGCCTCATCCAAGGACGTATTTTTTTGAGAGTCTTAGCAAATGATCGTTTTGAAGCCATTGTGATTAATAAACCATGCCACCATGATTTTTAAAGCCAGCCTGAGGAATTTTAGTGATATAATTATGTAAGGGCAAAATTACATCGAAAATGAAATTAAAAAATGTGTGTGTTAGCAGGTATCTGCAGTCTGAAAACTTGAGAGACTGAGGCAGGGGAATCATTACAAGTCTGAGGCCAGCCTGGCCTACACATTGAGTTCCAGGACAGGCAGGATTATGAGACCTGGTCTCAAAATAAATACATAAACAGTAACTTAATTAATTAAAATATTTTAATTTTCTTAGTAATGTGTCTATATCCTTTGGTAGAAAGAATTTAACTTTGTGTGTAGTGTTAAGGTTAGGATCCAAGGCCTTGCACATACTAGGTTTGGCTGGCACTCAGCTACACTTCCATCCCCACAAACCTAATTTTGATGTAGACAGTTTGTCCTCTACATATGTATGTGTAGAGAAACGGAATATTATAAAATTATTTATGAATAAAAATGCAAGTGTTCTCAGCAGATGGCCAGAAGTCATTGCTATGAACATGGGAGGTATTGGAAACTCTAGCAGAAAAATACCCAAAATCTGGCTTTACGACCAGGAGTGGGGTTTTAATGGGCTCAAGGTGAAAGGAAGAGGGGAAGCTGGTGTGAAGATATTGAGTGTAACTTTCATCTCTGTAACACTTGCCATTTAGCAAGGGTTCTAGGAACGGGGTCTGAGTCCATTCACAAGAGCCTTGTGAAATGAAGTCAGGAAAGATGGTGTCTCTCTCCGTAAGGTGGGAAATTCTCCACAGCTCACCGAAAGATAAAGTGACAGAGCCAGGATTCACGGGGGCTGCTCCTGCTCCACAACAGCTCTCCCTTAAGACACTCAGTGCAGATCCTTGATACATTAACTGCTTACTCTAGGCTCAGTGGCAGGCTAGCCCAAGGTGGTGTGGTGGCATCCAAAAGGCAGAGAAAGTCACTCTGTACCTGTGCAGACATCAGTCTGGGCCTAGAGAGATTAAACAGAGGCTGTGAAACTGATCCTCGCATTGACAAAATGAATTCACTGTTAAAAGTGAAATAATAAATTTAGTCCATAAGGACCCTGTGGGCGCATCGAAGGAAGACTTCCTGAGCCTGCTGGGCTGTGCCTGTCTCTGAACCAGTCATCCCAGAAACTAGGCGGGTCCCATGGCCGCTCTTGGGGAAAGGCAGGGTAGCTCAATTAGAAGGGAATGGACTGAGAGAAATGTTGGCTTTCTGAAGAAAACAACGGAGTTCCCACTAGAGGGAAAACTGACCATTAGGAGGCAAATACAGTAACAAGCACAGCAGGTCAGCTTCCTGAGGGAATAGGTGTGTTCCCAGTCGCAGAGAACACTTGAGTTTATTTGGGGAAGGGAGAGGTGTGCGTATGTGTATACACACGTGCTCGTACGTGTGCAGTTGGGTGTGTGGAGGCCGGAGACTGATGTTGGGTGTCTTCCTCAATGGCTTCTTCATCTTATTTGTTGCTGCAGGATCTTCCACTGAACCTGGAGCACACTGATTGCCAGGCTGGCCCATGAGTCCCTGAGATCCTTTGCCTCAACCCCC